CAGTGAATCAGCTGCATAAAATTAGAGGAGACATTATTGTTAGTTGCTGTTCTGGTGATGCCATAGAAAGCATGGTGAATTTTCCCCCTCACTATCACTAGTTCAGAATGGAGTCACATGGGAAACACACCACTACATCATGATGCTTTTATGGATGTGTCTGCCTTTGTTAACACCAGCTGTCATGATAGAAGACAGAGAAACTCACAAGATAAGTCATGAGGGAAGGGGTCTCTTAATATTTTAAGGAAGGAGGGCCATGTTCCACTAGTGGCCAAATCACATAACGAAATTATCGTGCTATTATTCTACTTTCACTGCTATGGGTTCCACCCTTTGGAATCCTGGGATTTGTAGTTTTGTGAAGCACTAGAGCTGGGGTAGGCAACCTTTCCCCTTTAAGGGCCAAGGGACTTCAGCTCCCAGAAGCCTCAGCCATGTTGGCCAATAGTCCCATGTTGGCCAATAGCTCCTGGGATTCTGGGAGCTGAAGTCCCTCGGCCCTTAAAGGGGAAAGGTTGCCTACCCCTGCACTAGAGCTCTATAGCTGAGAATTCTTACTTTTTTGTTATTGTGTGCCTTCAAGTCCTTTCTGACTTATGGCAACCCTAAGACAAACCTATCATGGAGTCCTCTTGGCAAGATTTGTTCAGAGGAGGTTTGCCATTGCCTTCCCCTGAGGCTGAGGCATGTCAGTTTTTTCATGGCTGAGCTGGGAATTGAACCCTGGTCCCCAGAGTCATAGTCCAAGACTCAAACCACTATCCCACTGTGGCTCCACTCTAAACTGCAATTCCCAGATTCCATATGAGAGAGCCATGACAGTTAAAGTGGAATAATAGCACTATAATTCTGTAGTGTGAATGGGTCTCCAGATTCTGTTGTTAGAAGTATACACAGAATGGACATAACACCTGTTCCTGTTCTCAGTACTGAAATGTGAAGGGTGCTGTGGAAAGAACCCACACAGAAAATGGGCACTGTATCTTTTGTCAGTTAAATTTTTACCAAGGGCTGAGTGACCCTTTGAGAACTTTGAGCTTTTCTGATAGCAGAGACATACCATATTTTCCGGCGTATAAGATGACCCCCCATTTTTCCAGTCAAAATATAGAGTTTTAGCACCTCTATCCTCCTTATCCTTATACCCGGCGTATAAGACGACCCCCCCCCTTTAACCACAGATTTTGCAGGTTAAAAAGTAGTCTTATACGCAGGAAAATAAGGTAACTAAAGGAAACCAGTTCAAACAAATTACATTTGGACCAACTGAAGCTCTTATGTTCACTTCATGTGAGGGCTACCCTAGCCCTCCCCAGATATCTTACTCCTTCCCATTGGCCCTACCTATAGCCACATACTACTGTTTGTTCTTCTTGTTGTTATATTCATTTTTGTTCTTGTATGGCTTCAAATTGTTTCCAACTTATGGTGACCCTAAAGCAAACCTATCATGAGGTTTTCTGAGGCTGA